AAGGCACTTGACTGCTAACCAGAAGGCTGGCAGTTCAAACCCACCAGCCACTCCTCGGAAGGAAGATGGGGCAATCTACTTCTGTAGTCATACAGCCTGGGAAACCCAAGGAGGGGTCTCTATGAGTCGGGTCAGACTTGATGACACATAACAACAACAACAACAACAGGGAGGTAAAGGAAAGGGTAAAATCCTTTTAACCCTGTTTTGAAAGGACAGAAGACTATGTAGCCATTTCAATGTTTCTAAAGGATTCCGTTTTCTAAACTATGGATCAAACAATGGAATTCAATACTAAGACGCTACCACAGAATTCTAGCCCTTTATTTACATAAAATTATAGAGACAAAAGGAAATATTAGCATTTGTTTCCCTGGAGAAAAATTCCCTGAAGTAATCTGAAATCAATTCCTCCTGAGAATTGTGAGAACTATTGTAAATTGTTGACTGTTGGTATTTGTAATCCTGGGTGAAACTGGTTAGGTATCAATATCTAGTAAATGCTTTATAAGAAGAAAATAGTGAAGTTAATCACATTTTAAAATCACATCAACTTCCAATCTCCCCTTCTATGTTCCTTGATAATTGCTATATGAGGAATAGTCTTAAAATGTGTCTTTCAATGAAAAAAAGAAGTTTTCAAAATGGGTGTTTCTCCATATTTTCAAAACGCTGGATACTTTATGAAAAACACCTTAGCCCTGATGGGTACAAAAGACTTAGTCCCTGCTCTAATGATGTGTTGGAGGATATTGTCTGAAAAGTAGGAAGGCTTAGGTAGGAGGCAGTGAAAAGGATACTTTGAACTTGAAAGAAACATAATAGAGCTTTAATACTTACAGCTGTCCTCTTCTTCAGTTATACATTTCACAACATAACAGGCGTAGATGAACCCTGCCAGCTGAAACAAAACAGAGGCGCTTTAGACATCAGGCAAAGGCAACAGAACAGCACCTCGCTGGGGGTCCTTTTCAGAGGCAGGCCGTTTGCCACCAGACTCAGTGGTCCCAAATGCCTGACGGGACTGGATCTTGACTTCAGTATTTATTTGTGACTCAAGTGATGTTGTGCTGCCTTACAAATAAACACATTGTTCTGTTTTTCTTTGACCTGTGTGTATGTGTAAGACTTGCTCATTGTTAGGCAATCCTAAACACATTGTATGAGGTGCAGAAAAAGAAAAGCATTATGACCATTCATTAATGAATTCACATTTGCATTTGTGCCTATCAAATTCTAGTGGATTTTTCATTAGATCAGAGCCAAAGAATCTAAAATTGGATTTTCACTGACTATCGGAAAAAAAGTTTTAAGGGAGAAATATTAAGGAGGTTTTGTGTATGTTACATGGACTCTTGCAAGTAAGAAAAATTGTTATTTAGACTTGAATAGGAACTGAGGCAGAAACATAAATAAAAGGACATGTTACAGAAAAGTGATGAGGTGGACACCTTCAAAGAAGGAGTATCACAATGCAAGTAAGGAGAATCACAGTGCA